CTGCATGTATGCCTGCACAACAGAAGAAGGCACCAGATCCCATTACGGAGGGTGGTGAGCCACCATGTCATTGCTGGGAATTTAACCTGAGTCCTCAGGAAGAGAAGCCAGTGTATGTTTAACCGCTGAGCCATCTCTCCAGCCACATGGTTCATCTTAATATGAGTAAATTTCGTGGTATGTAAATTCTTTCTCAAAAAAGTATTTGAAAAATTACTGGATGGGTGATTTTCCAATTGACTATGTATCATGTTAGCTCAGCATTAACTCCTGTCCTTAAGAAAGCAGATGAAAAATCTTACACACAGCTGAGCATGGTTGTGCACGCCTTTAATGCCAGCATTTGGGAGGCAGAGACAGGTGGATCGCTGTGAGTTCGAGGCTAGCCTGGTTCACAGAGTGAGTTCCAGGACAGGCTCCAAAGCTACACAGAGAAACCCTGTCCTGAAAAATCAAAAACAGCCATCTCAAAACATAAAGACAATAAAACCTTATGGAGTACAGCTGTTAACATGTAAAGCTGACAAAAAGGGGTGGGGGAGCACACTCATTAGCCTTTAGAAACGCAATTATTTTCTTATATATGGCTATATGCAAATGACCCAAGTTCAGAAGAAGATAAAAGATAATGTCTGGAGCTATGGACGTAACTTAGTTGGTATAGTCCTTGCCCAACATGGACTTAAAGCCTGGGGTTCCATCCCCAACACTATATAAACTAAACCTACTAGTACTATAGTAGCATATAATCTTAGCAGTCAAAAGGTAGATGCAGGATCCGAAGTTCAAGGTCATGATCACCTACATAGTCAGTCCCAGGCCAGCCTGGGATAGAAGACATGGTCTCCAAAAAACAAACAAACAAAAAATACCCCCAAAAGGTTCAAGGGTGGGCTACATCTAAGTTATATAAGAATGTATAGAATACCCTCGTGTCAGGCTGGAGAGGTGGCTCAGAAGTTAAGAGCACTGGCTGCTCTTCCAGAGGTCCTGACTTCAATTATCAGCAACCATATGGTGGCTCACAACCATTGTATTGAGATTTGGTACAATCTTCTGCCTTCAGGCATACAAGCAGGCAAAACACTGTATATAAATAAAAAAAAAACTAAGAAAAAAGGATACCATCCAATAAAAAATATTCTTTGTGCTTCTTTCTTCAAGAGCACACATGTACTCTGTGAAAGACACAAATAAAATGCTTGAATATAACCTGCAGCTAGAACTATTTGTCTTTCTTTCTTTCTTTTTTTTTGGTTTTTCGAGACAGGTTTCTCTGTATTGTCTTGGAGGCTGTCCTGGAACTCGCTTTGTAGACCAGGCTGGCCTCGAACTCACAGAGATCCACCTGCCTCTGCCTCCCGAGTGCTGGAATTAAAGGCATCCACCACCACGCCCGGCTTTTTATTATTTTTTATTATTATTTTTTGGTTTTTTATGAGACAGGGTTTCTCTGTATTGTTTTGGAGGCTATCGGTCCAGCCTGGCCTCGAACTCACAGAGGTCCGCCTGCCTCCGCCTCCTGAGTGCTGGGATTAAAGGCGTGCGCCACCAACGCCCTGCTTTTTAAAATACTTAAAACACACACACACACACACAAACAGAAGCAAGTATGATGGTAATTACAAGCTCTACTTCATAAAACATCACCATATTTGTATGATGAGAACAGACCCTCCCTTCGAAATAGCCCTCTCAGTTCATCAAGGCTCAAAGTAAAAAAGGAGAAAGGTTTAAAGCAATTTCATAAGGGTGGTGGTATGACCAAGCCTCAAGCTGAATATGAAACCATAGTGGCTTCCGTGGCTCATGTAAGGAGGGTTAAGTCGAAACTTACTGGACCCACATCCCTACGTGGTCATAGTCAATTCTCATTAAAGTCCAGTCTTCCCAGATCTCCAGCTTTTAGAAGCTGGCTGGATAGCACACATTTTCTTCTAAAAATTACTTAATTAATTAATGAGGTGCCAGGGATAGAACCTAGGAGTTCACACACTCTAGCCAAGAGCCGTCTCACTGATCTTTATCTCTGGTTTCAGTACTCTAATTTTTAAATGCTGACAATTATTCTAAATGTTCAAGAATAGAGTGGTTTGGCTCTTGGGGTAATGGTTTATAAATCTACACTAAAGGACCTTTTTAGACAGGATCTCACATAGCCCATGCTGACCTCAAATGCAATATGTAGCCAAGGATAGCCTAGAAATTTGTTCCTACTGCTTTTACCTCAAGTGCTAGGTTTATGCTGTGTTGGTGATTGAATTTAGAGCTTTGTGCATGGAAAGTAAGCACTCTACCACTCTACTGAAAAAGTGTGTGTGTGTGTGTGTATGCCACATTTGTGAGGGTGCCCATGGAGGCCAGAATAAATATTCAGATCCCTAGGAACTGGAACCTGATATCCTTGTTTCTCCCACATGCTGTTTCTGACCTCCACATGCATGCATACCTCATCTTACAGTAAAAAAAAAAGATCATTTATAGGGCTTGAGAGATGATTTCGAGTTTAAAAGAGTCTACTGCTCTTCCAGATGAAGCAAGTTCAATTTTCAGAGCCAAGCATGTGGAGGTCAGATACAGCATGTGGGAGTTGGTTCTCTCTTCTACCTTGTGGGTCTGGAGACTGAACTGAGGTTATAAGGCTTGCCACCAATCACCTGCACTAGCTGAGCCATCCTGCTGGGCCCAGTGTAAAGTCTTAGTTTAACAAAGCAATGGCAGAAAGAAGGATATCACAGAATCAACATCATCTCAGCTTTCATTGAATATTCTACTAGAAGCCGGGCGTTGGTGGCGCACACCTTTAATCCCAGCACTTGGGAGGCAGAGGCAGGCGGATCTCTGTGAGTTTGAGGCCAGCCTGGTCTACAAGAGCTAATTCCAGGACAGCCTCCAAAGCCACAGAGAAACCCTGTCTTGAAACCCCCCCCCAAAAAAGAATATTCTACTAGAAATATTCATAGCAGAAACACATGATTGGAAAAAAATGTTTGTTTCACACCCTGTGGTGCAGGTATTGAGATAGACAAAAACAACATAAATAAATCACAGAAGAAAAATATTCTTGATAACATTAAAACCAAAAACTTTGTTTCTAAGTAATTGAGACTGGCTATGTTTATGTGTTGGGAAACCCAAATCATGATTAATTCACACCGAGGCTTTAAAATAATGTGGTAGAAGTTATTGATTGTAACTTCTAAAAGATACAATTAAAAAATTTATGATGTCAGCCTTTTTAAATTGATAGACAGTTGAAAATACTATACTTGCTTTGACAAACAAATTAAACTGTATTTAAAGCAAAGCTTTTATCTACTGGTGGTTTTAATAACCACTAGGGAATCAGAAAAGTATTTAACTTTTCCATTCAAAAAGTCATAGGGGAGCTGGACATAGTGACGCACACCCATAATCCCAGTTGCTAAGGATACTGAGGCAGAAAGACCAGGAAGGAGCTCAAGGCCTGCCTGAGTTACAGAGGGAGTTTACGATGAGCCCTGGCCAGGTGCGGGGTAGTGTGACTCTTTAACTCCAACACTCTGGAGGCAAAGGCGGATGCAGACAGATCTCTGTGAGTTCAGGATGAGTCTGGACTATACAGTGAGTTCCAGGCTAGCCAGGATTGTCAGTCTGGATAACTTAATGGGACCCTGTCTCAAAATAAAAACAAGGGCTATGATTCTGGGGTATGACTGTCTACCATGCACAACACTCTAGGTTAAGAAAAAAAAAGTCATAAAGTTATCTGGGTAGTGATGGCGCACACCTTTAATCCCAGTACTCAGGAGGCAAAGACAGGTGGATCTCTGTGAGTTCGAGGCCAGCCTGGTCTACAGAATGAGTTCCAGGACAGCCTCCAAAATAATACAGAGAAACCCTGTCTGGAAAAACCAAAAAAGAAAAAAAGCCATAAAGTTGCCAGCATTTTATTATCTGTCTTTTTGAAGTAATCATGAAAGAGCTGAAGAGAAAATGCAAGAGAAAATGGTTATTCCTTGAGAATATTTTCAACTTATAATAAATACTACATCTGCTTTAGTTTAAAGAAAGCATCAGTAGGTACCGGGGAAAGAACTTATAATTTAATGTATGTGTTAGTGTGTGTGTGTGTGTGTACATGCATGTGGTACATGTGTACAGGCACGTACCTGTGTGAGCTTCTGGAGGTCAGAGAAAGATGTCCTTCTCTACCTCCTTCTATTCCTTGAGACAGAGTCTCTTGTTCAACCCGCAGGTAGGCTGATGGTCAGGAAGCCCTGGTGGGCCTGTCTCCACCCTTGCCTGGTTTTTGACATGGGTGCTGGATTCAAATTCAAGTCCTCTTACTTGCACAGAAAGTGCTCTTACCCATCTCTCCAGGTCCTTTAACCCCATTTTTTTCCATTTATGGGAACTGAACTTAGGGCCTCATATGGGCTGGGCAAGCACTCAAACCCTGAGCTATATTCCCATCCCATTATTCAGATTTTTCAAAGATGTTTCCCACTGAGGAAAACAGTCCTGAAATAAAAATGTAATTTTAAAGATGACAAAATTAAGGCAGTATCCTAAATTCATGACACAACTAGAAGGGTCATTTTGGAATGTTATTGTGACATGTTCAAGGCTAAGGACTTTTGCCATCTTTGAGGATTGCTGGTTCTTTTGATTGGCTTCAGAGAGCCAAGGATGCTCTCCTGGTACACCTGTAGCTCAGAACTAGTTAAGTCATTCCTTCAGGCTTTCTTTTTTTTTTAATTAACTCATATATATTAGTTGAGTTGCATTGCATTTATTTCAAGTGATGAAAACTCATGTTAAGTGATGAAGTATTGATAAAGGCTGAACAAGTGGCTTACTCTCTCTTCCCAGAGTTTCTCTAGCTTTAAAATAAGGACAGCATTGTTATGGGAATTCAATAAACCATGTAAAGGAAATGGAAACAGTTCTAACACATAGTAAGTGTCCAATAAGTGGCAGCTCTTTTTATTGTTATACAATAGGCTGGTTATACTCACTCTTTTGTTGAGACAAATAACAGGCCACAGGCTGCACCCCAGGGTGCAACAGCAGCAGAGACATCCACACAGTAGCCATTTCACATTGACTGGGAGAGCCTTTTTCAGACATGAGTTCACACGGCCAATGCTGGTCTTAAATTCTTCTGGAGCCACCTAGAACAGGGGGACTAACTTAATGAGTTTGTGGACAGCTTCCCACTAGCCCCAATCCTAAGGAAACTATCTTATCAGAAATACTTCAAATGTTTCAATATATTCTCTCCATAAATCTGTATCACATACTCTTGGAAGACATCAGCGAGTGAAGCAACATAATTTCATGCTTGAAGAACTTCATGTAATAACCACAATGCTCTGAAATGACCAGCAATCAACAGAAAGCAACACGGCTGATAGTAAGGGAAAGCCATCAGGCATTTTTGTTACCAAGCATTCTTGTTACAGTAATAGTGCTCACAGTATTCAGGCACCCTGACTGAGACCTGAGTTATGGTTAGAAGCATAAGACAAGAACAAAAACCAAACCATTAACCAGGAGATGGAATTAAAATTAGGCATTGATAATAATCCTGAATTACTTTGAAATAAACTCTTAACACCTTTTTCTTTCTGGCAAATCTGCAATATAATAGTTAAACTTGCTGCTGATAGCAGGGAAATACATTAACAAGCGATAATATCTGACAATTATGTTTAAAGCGGTCTGTTAGTATTCAGCACACATCAGATTCATAACCACTCTGAGTTTTGAAGGTTGAAAAGTCTTTACACAAAGTTAACATTTCTGGTTATTACCTCCATCCCTGCAAGTAGGTGTTTGTGCTTCTCTACAAACAGTGATAGAATCAATTCAAAGGCAGGAGCATGACCCATGTAGTTAAGATTTACATCAAAAATTCCCCTTGCAAGTTACATGATTCAAAGATACACTAAAAATAGTCTGTTTTTGGTAAAAATCATGTTTTGGACCACCAAGATGATACGGCATTACTCAGAAAGTTGGCAGACAGTAAGTTCAAGGGATAAGGTTTGGCATCTGGTTGTGAAAGTAAAACTTAGGATGTTGATAGAAAAATAAGTTGCAATAAAATGAAAGCCCCACAACAATGTGTGACATCACAAACCAAAAAGCTTTACTCCTCCAAATAAAAGGCTGTACTAGAGGAATGGCTTTGTCAAATTTTTAAAAATTTTTAGCAGGCATGTCTTAGAATTCACACAAACACACGTACTGATGTTATAAAGATCCAATTCAGCACTGTCACAATTAAAACATTGAGTAGACAAGCTCTATTAGAACTGTTTGTGTCACCCATAAGTCAATTAATCAGTCCATGAAACAGCTAATTTTTTTTTTTTGCTAACAATGAGCAGTTTTGAAACTGTTGGGCTTAAAACTTTGTTTACATGGGAAAAATGGACTTCATTCTCCATCTACACTGTTAAAAACATAACAGACAGCTACTGTGCACCAAGAATTCCAATGAATTGACATTTCTGTGGGTAAATATGAAAATAAATTGACAGAAGTATGCTTTATTATTGAAATCAGAAAGCATTCTTGCTGTGTCTAAGAAAATAGCAGGTAAAATCATTCAATTTTTTCTGAATCCCGGTATGAAGTGAAATGATAGTCCTTGTTTTAACTTTTTAATTTATTTATTTAGGTGTTTTGTTTTGTTTTGTGTTTTCTTTTTTGAGGCAGGGTTTCTCTGTGGCTTTGGAGGCTGTCCTGGAACTAGCTTTTGTAGACCAGGCTGGTCTTGAACTCACAGAGATCCGCCTGCCTGGGATTAAAGGTGCGCGCCACCAACGCCTGGCTATTTAGGTGTTTTATGAGTGCTCTGAACATATGCCTGCATGCTAGAAGAGGGGATCAGATCCCATTACAGATGGCTGTGAGACACCATGTGGGTACTGGGGATTGAACTCAGGACCTCTGGAAGAGCAGCCAGTGCTCTTAACCTCTGAACCATCTCTGCAGTCCTGATATAGTCTTTGTTTTATACAGTCACAAGGAAACTTCAGTGCTCTTCAGTTTTGAATTTTCTTTCAGAGATATTCTTCCCCTCTAATTCTTTCCTCTCCCTTCTTGTCAGAACCAGGGATGGAAGTTGAGTGCTAGCCCACACGGAACAGACATTCTACCATGCTGTGGACCCTTGTATACTATAAAGATTTGACACTTGAATTGGTTTAATAAAATGCTGATTGGCTGGTAGCCAGGAAGGAAATATAGGCAGGGTGACCAAACTAAGGATGCTGAGATGAAGAAGGGGAAGTCAACAGTGTCTCAGGGAGACACAGAGAAGCAAGATGGGCAATGCTTTACCAAGAAAAGGTACTAAGCTACATGGCAAAGCATAGATAAGAAATATGGGTTAATTAATTTGTCTTTTAAAATTTATTTATTTTATGTACATTGATGCTTCGCCTGCATGTATGTCTGTGTGAGGGTATCAGATCTTGATGTTACAGACAGCTGTGAACTGCCATGTGGTTGCTGGGAATTGAACCTGGGCCCTCTGGAAGAGCAGTCAGTGCTCTTAACTGCTGAGCCATCTCTCCAGCCCCCAAAATATGGGTTAATTTAAATGTAAGAGCTAGTAAGAAGCCTGAGATATTGGCCGAGCATTCACAACTAATGTTAAGTTTCTGAGTGATTATTTGGGAACAGCCTCAGCACAGGAAAACCCCACCTACACTACCACTTGCTCCTCCTGTAGTCCTTTGATGTTCTTTAAAAAAAACAAGGTGCCTAGTTACTATCTAAAGATGCATCTGTCCCAAACAGCAATATTTAACTTCCTTCTCATTGCAGGGAATCACTGAGTAACCAGGTAATAGTTAAATTAAGACAGTTTCCATCTCAGAGGATTGTTCATCCTCATCTTCTACCTGAGCTAAGGGACACGGCATTCCATGAGGGGTCAGAGTCCTTCCTTCCCTTAGGCATTTATTCTTATTCTCTCCTAACTCTGTAGCATTGCTTCCTCCTATGAGTAGGCTGTAATTTTTTCCTTCTGTGAGGAAAATTTCGAGAATAAAGGAGGTAATAGCTATAAAGCTACTTGGTACAATACCTAGCATAATTAGGCACTCTGCAAACGGAGCTATTATCCATGTTTCATGGTGAGACTATAGGCAAGAGAAGTCTTAAAAAAAATTAAAAAAAGAGAAGTCTTCATTTGTGTTCTTTAAGCACTTAAACATTATGTTACATCTCCTGAAAAACATTCCCCTTTACCTCTCGGTCTAGGCGTAATTAGAGAATAGTTTTTTTCCTACTGTCATATCTTTATTCTTTCCCCCCTCTTTCAAAAAACAAAAACAAAAAAACAAACAAAATCCACCCACCTGGTATAACTGTAGTCATTCTGCGATGCACACAATTTTTTTTAAATAACAAAATTACTTTCATATTATGACAATAAATAAAAAAAAACAAAATCTTTTCTGTGTCGGGTGACGACAATTTCACTTCAGAATGGTTTTTCAGTGAAGGCTCAGTTTGTCACCTTAAGGTCATTGCCACACAGGCCAGAGACCTTGTCCTCGCTAAATCACTTCCACGTGCCGGCAGCACATGCCGCCAGTTGTCCGGGTAAGTGCAGCTCGGGTGTCTCACCATTTTCCTTTTCATTCTTTTTATATATTTGCTGATTTTTTAATTTTATGTATATTCGTGTTTTTGCCATGGGTGTCGGGTCCCCTGAAACTGGAGTTATAGACAGTTGTGAGCTGCCATGTGGGTGCTGGGAATTGAACCAGGGTCCCCTTGAAGAGCAGTCAGTGTTCTTTACCCCTGAGCCATCTCTCCAGCCCCTCACCATTTTTAACCCTGACTTCTAGCACTTACTGTAAAGAAGCACTGTTGTCATCTGTTTAAAGCTTTGCTTATTTTGAGACTACTAGTTACATACACTTATTTACTCATCTATCTGTGTATGTGACTACACAGGACAGCGGACAGTAGTCAGTTACAGCCACCTCTCAGGGTCTAACTCAGGTTCTCTGGCTTGGTGACATGCACCTTTTACCCACAGAGCCATCTTGCCAGCCTTGAAAATACTTTAAAAAAAGAGTTTGTAATTATGATTTAAACTTTTATTTGAAAACAAGTATGCAAATACAGATGAGAAAATTAAATGTGAAGAGTTATACCAGAGATAGAAATGAATCTGTCTAGCTGGTGGTGGTGCACGCCTTTAGTCCCAGCACTGGGAAGACAGAGGCAGGCAGATCTCTGTGAGTTCGAGACCAGCCTGGTCTACAGAGGGAATTCCAGGACAGCCAGGGCTACACAGAGAAACCCTGTCTCAAAACCAAACCAAACAAAAAAGAAATGAATCTGTCCAAAGGAACAAAACAGTGTACAAGGAATCTTAGAAAAGAAGTTTCTTTCTAGCAGGGAAGAACAGTGTTGTAAAAGCCTGACGAAGGGAAGGATGACTTTCAATGTGAAGCACAGGAATGAAATCAATCATACACTGTGGGAACACCAGACCTTGAGCAGAGACCCACTTCCCCTTCTGCCTGGGAGTAGGCAGCTGTAAGACAATGTTTACTAAAAACAATACAGAGAGACCCTGATAAAAAAAAATGGGTGAAACAAAAAATTTGTAACAGTAAAGAGGTACTGGTATTAAGTAAAGAAAAAGACAAAGGTATATGGAATGAAAAATTTTGTTTACCTTTAAGTTCTATTTTGTGAGTCATCTCTAAAAACTTTTGGCCAAAAGCTTGGCCTCTCTACCTTGCATCTACAGTTACAAGGAGTAGGTACAGCTGTACCCCATGACTGTAGCTCAAATGGAGGAATGATAAAGAACATACAGGACTTTTTAACCTTTTAGTTCAAGGATTGGCTGGAGTTGTTCTTTTACATAGATTTCAATTAAGGTAGCTTCATTGCAACAGACTAATCATGACCTAGGGAAAAAGGATGACTGAAAGATGCATGTATGTTCTGAATGTATGGTGTGGCCACACCGGTATGTATGAAATGTGATTGTGAATGCATGAGTGTGAACTGCTTATATGATTAAAAGGATACTTAAACCCCTTCAAAAATAGTTCAGAAGCTACCTAGATTGCTTTATATATAGCTAAAAGGAACATCCAGCCAGTCTGTTAATGTTTTTACAGAAAAA